GAGGGTGGACTCCGGAGGCCGGTGGCTTCTAGCACCTGCCATCAGCCCACTCCTACCTGCCTGGGAAATGGGGAGTCTGCTTCACCCCACCGGCTTGCAAAGGGCAGCTCTTTCCTAACCTTTCCACTCCCACACATATGACTTTGATAGTCATTTGTACTTGATTTCATCTGGATAAATACGGAGAGAAGGCAGAGGTGGGCAGAGTAACCTCTGCACCCTTCGGGCAGTGGGGCGCAGCATAGTAGTGGACAGAGCCTGGCTACGCTCCAGGCAGAGCTGGCTTCCAGTCCTAACCGGACACTTGCCCTCTGATTAGCTGCAAGTTCGTCATCTACAAAATGGGGCAGAGGTATCCACCTTATACGGTCGTGGTTACGATTAACTGAAATGAGGCATACGAAGTGACTGGCACCCAGAGGGCACTCACTAAATCCTGCGTCCCTTCCCCTGCACTTCCAGCGGCTGGGCTGGTCTGAAGACAGCGAGCACGCCACCGTTTTACTGCGGCCGAGCTGGGAAAAGAATGCTCTGTATCCAGCTTCCATCACCTTGGATGAATGGGCTATATCCACAAGAAGCAAAGGAAATGGAATAAACTTGAATACATAAAGCCAAGTAGCATTTTCTGGTCTGCACTCGCCCTCCGAGGGACCTACTGAAATACTGAAGAAAAAGAGAAAGTCATCCTTGCAGTGTGCATAATCTCACGGAGGGGAGGCTGTGGGTACCCAGATCTCGGGGCATTCTTCTCGGACGCCACGCAGCCTGCATGGGTTGCAGATAAGCCTCCTCGCTGAGCCAAGCCCCGGAACCTTCGGAGACGCATCCCCAACCCTCAGCTATAGAAACCCGAAATCACGCTTTCTGTCTATTCACCTGCGATATCACCCAAGCTCCCCAAATCCCCTCACTAAGCCTTCTGAAATCACCAGAACCATCGGCTCTGGGCACGGAAATGAGATATTACAAAAAGTTGCCACACAAAGGTCGTGATTTCTAGAGGACAAAGGGGGAAAACAAAGCTTTTTAATAAAGGCTTTTGGAGCTGCGGCAGAGAGCGACTGTCCCCAAGCTGGCGGAGGGCCTCTCCCTTCTCCCCCGACAGCAGAGGCAGCCTGCCCAGCCTGCCCGGCCACCTTGACGTGCACGTTTCTCGGCGTGAGCAGCCTGACACTGTATTCCCTCTCCCACGGCTGCCACCCGGCTACTGCACCCTGGAGTTGGGCTCCTCCAGGGTTCTGAGCTCATTAAGGCTCTGTCTTCACAGCCAAGGTAAAGTGAAGAATTGAGGAAATTACCCCCACGATCTGGAGAGGGGGGAAGAAACCACCTTGTGTGGAATAAGACGGTTTTGGAGGACTAGTCCGAGGGACTGGCAAATACTCCCACCCTCTCAGCTGTCCTGAGAGGTAATAATATGTGCGATTACTTGTCCCCTCCCTGAAAAGTAACATTTATACTAGGTAGCTCCCTGGGAAAAGATGTCAAATGTCCAGTTTCTCCAGAACAAGACCAGTCCGGAGCTTCCACCTAAGCAAAGCAAGGACACAGCCCTCCCTCAAACCTGGAAGTGTCACACAGGAGAAACTCCAGGGTCCTCAGGCAGCAGTTAAATACTGTCATTTAGAATTCTCTAATCCGGCTGAGCAGAAATTTCCAGATTTAAATTGTGCTCACCCAGGCATGATGAATGGTCTCAGACAGTCTTGGGTTTGTTCCAGCTCCCTTTGCCTGCGGTCAAGTCCTTATTTGACTCCACAGTCTACACCTTCACAACCCCAAGGCCAAGCATGGCTGTCAGCTGGGTGTCCACAAACAGAGAGGCAAACTACCAGGCCCCCATTGGGGTTCCCCAAATGAACAGGTAATTAACAACAACGCAGCCAAGCAGTACTTGACAATGGCCAAGAGGCTGTTTAGCATCTTTTAAAAACTCTGGCCTTGAAGTCACCCTGGCCTGAGCTAAGCTCAGACCCCACCACCCTCCAGGTGTGAAATCTTGAGCAAGTTACTCAACTTCTCTGCATCTCATATTCCCCAGGCGTCAGGGGGTTAAGCGTGAGAATTAACAGTGAATGTATCTGGGCACAGTGGCTCATGCCTGTAATCCCAGAGACTTGGGAGGCTGAGGCGGGAGGATCGCTTGAGCCCAGGAGTTCCAGACCAGCCTGCGCAGCATAGTGAGACCCCATCTCTACAAAAAATTAAAAAATGGCTGGGCGTGGCAGTGTGTGCCTGTAGTCCTAGATACTGGGGAGGCTGAGACAGGATGATAGTCTATGCCTAGGAGTTCAAGGCAATGAGCTATGATCAAGCCACTGCACTCCAGCCTGGGCAACAGAGCAAAACATCATCTCTAAACCAACCAAACAAACAAACAAAAAGCAGAGCAATAAAAAAAAAATCTTAAAAAGGACAAACAGTGAATGTAATATATGTCCCCTAGACAGTGTCAGGCTCACTGTTTCAAAAAAAGGTAGAACAGGCAGCATTTACTGCTCATTCCACAAATGCTGCTAAGTGCGTGCAATGTACAAGGCTTTCTTGACCCTCAAAAAACTCTGAGAGGTGCTCTGAAGAGGGGTCTTCCTCCCTGGTGGTTTTGGCTTGTCCAGATCACCCTGCCAGTTAGTTCTGGAGCCAGCACCAGATGGTGACTGTCTGGGCTCCTGGTCCAGTGCTCTCTCAACTCTCCCCCACGCTCCTCTGAGAGTGCAGGGGTGAGAACTGGTCTATTACAGCTCTGATGAGTGAAGATTTCTGTTTTGTCTCCCAGGGGATTAACATGAGGATTGCTTGCCTGGAGGAGGGTCTCACCGCCTACCTGATATCTCCCTCACCTAAAGCTACAGCTCTCCACTCCCTGAACATCAGATTCCTGTATCTCACTTCCATTTGTTTCTCCCAAAGTCCTTGAGGAAGGCTGCAAGCAGGATGGGATGGAGGCGATGTTCCTGGGTAACCCAGTAGCCAGCTCGGGATGTCAGTTTTCACACCACGTTTCATGGAACCCGAGGTCCACAGAGGGGCTTTGTGGGCTGCAGGGGGCGGTGTGGGCGGATGGGTAGCAGTACTCATTCAACTAGAGCAGTGTCAGCTCTTACCTACAGGGCTAACTGGTAGGAGACCTGGTTTATTTATGTTGGGCTTCCATTTATGATTTAATTTGAAACAAGAATTTGATCCTAAAAAAAAAAGAAAAGAAAAAAGAAAAGCTTACGATTCATCTTTCTGGCAGCTTCTGAGAACAGAACCTAGACTTAATCCTTGTGGATATTAGGCACAGAGGTGGGCAGCCCTGTTCTGAGCCAGAGCAAGCCATCTCACACTTTCCGATCCACTCAGACACACGTTGGGCACCTGCTGTGTGCAGAACCCCAGACTAGGTGGCAAGTGGGTAAAAGTAAAAAAGAGGCGATGGTCCTTTGCGACTTGAAAGGCAGAATACATACCCCAAAGGTAGAAGGGGCCGACAAATGCCAATTGATATAGCCAGTCTGGTCCTTGTGATGTTTTGTCCCCTTTATTTGTACAATCTATTCCTCCCAATCGGCTATAATTTTCCAAGGGACAAGAAACACCTCTCAGCAAACACTTGTTAAGTCCTTACCATAAATGGCAGACATGGGAAAGGCTCACCATCCAGTGGGAGAGAGAACAGGGACTCTCTGGGGATCAGGGGCCAGAGAAGGTGCCACAAAGGAGGTGTGAAGTCCAGGACCGCTGGACCTCCTGCTGTTGGTCTGACAGCCTCCTTGAGGGAAGGGTTTGGAGCTGGGTCTTGGAGGAGGAGGAGCCTGGACCAGCTCCCAGAAGAAGGGAGTGAGTCCAGGTTGGGATCATGCCAGCAGCAAAGGCAATTAAGCGAAGCCAGCATGGCTTAGGGTAGAGGCTGGCAATAAAGGGGAGGAGGTGAGGGAAAGCCAGTTAAGCTCGAGTAGAGCAGAGAGAAGGGCAAAACGAAATAAGGGTATGGAGAAGAAGGAAAACGCTGGGGACGGAATATTTGAATCTAATTCAACTGGGGCATGGCTGGACTCTAGCAGTAACGCACCACCAGAAACGTGATCACGGAGGACAGCCCCGCCTTCAATGCCAACCTCACCACCCCTCTAGAAAGCAGGGATCCTGTGCTCTCTCCCCAAGACCTCTCCCTGACAGCCCCCTTCTCCCTCAGCCTCAAAGTCAGGGTCCTCCCGGCCCTGCAAGGGGATCAGGAAGAGGTGGCCGAGGCAGGAACCACCTGGGTTGGGAGGGGGATGGCCGGCCGGGCCCGGCTTGGCTTGCAATGTCTCCCAGCTGTGACCCACATCTGGGGCTTCTGGAAATCTGACCAGAACACTTACTCCCACACTCACGCCTCTACCTTTAGGGCCAGGTAAAGAAACAGATCTGTGCAAGGGGACAGGAGGAACATCCCCTCCACCCCCGCCACGCACACACCCCACTGCACACATTAAAGAGTCCCCAAGGCCGTCTAAGGGGAGGCTGGGTGTCCTGGGTTGGGTAAGAGAGGTGGCTGGAGACGCAGTTCCCTTCGGTCCTCCTGGGGAACCCTTCCCTTGGCTTCCTTCGCTCTAATAATGTGAATGAACCCTGGGAGAGGAAGAGAGCGCGCGCGAGCGCGGGGAGGGAGCGGGCGGGGCGCAATCCGGGCTGGGGGCGCGGGGAGCGCG